TCTTCACTCTGCAACGAATACACTCAAAAATGGCAATAATCGCAACTACAACTGCCTCTACGCCTATTGCCTCATTTCACCGCCTGCCCATGTATCAAATTTTCAGCAAATGCAGTTTTTTGACTCTTAATTTCGCGGGAAATCGTAAGCCAATCAAACATAAATTGAACATACAAAATTCCTTGGTTTCGACAAAGGCTTCTTCTTCGGTGGCCCAAGCCCCAGAGCCAATGGTTCCACCATTTAATGTTCTGATCACTGGCTCTACTAAAGGTCAGATAGTTATTATTTCTCCTTTCTTTATTCGGGTACAATAAATTACAAAATTTGCTCTCTGTTGTGCTTTTCACTTCCTGTTAACTTTTTCTTATCTAATTGGTATTATTTTAATAACTAACGTTGTTGTGTTAGTATATGAGCATTGAGCAGCACACTGGGCTCACCTTGAACACGAGTAGTATTCAGTGCGAATTTTTTATATATTATGCTTATTTATAAGGTTAGTTTCTTGGTACTTTTATTCAAGAACAAGATATAAATGACAACCCAGCTATGAATTGCTCTGGATAAGGATTATTATTTTTGAGTAATTTTAATTATAATTAGAGAAACTATAGGAACCGAACTGAATTGAATATTGGTAACTGTCCCTCCTTTCTGATATAACTGCTTGTATATTTAATTATATACTCCTATCATTCCTCCCCAAAATTTTATCGACTTTTGATGGGAATATATTAACTTCATTTTCTTTATTCAGGAATAGGGTATGCACTTGCAAAAGAGTTTTTGAAAGCTAATGACAATGTCGTTATATGCTCGAGATCAGGTATGCGTTATATATCCTGCATAAAATTATATGTTATAGGTAATATGTATGCTCAAGTTAATTGGAACATTTCATCCTATTGTTTGTCTAGCGGTATTAATCTTGAGTACGGAAACATGAATTTATCTTTAAGGAAAGCACTTTGAAAATTAGGACAAAGGTTTAATAAGTTTCGAATCTCCTCCACATTTATAATATCTCCTCTAAACAATGACAGAGTGGCATCTCTGACTTCTTTTTATTATGACACTAATTTATTAGACACCAAGAATTAAGGCTCTACTTTATGGAATTTCTTGATAGCTCTTTCTCTGATAAGTTTTACAGGGGAAATGAGGCTAATTTAGCTGCCTAAAGTAGTCTATCTAAAGGAGCAGTGTATGCTTCATCCATATTGTCAAGGGTACCATTAATAGTAAGTTTACGACCGATACTCTAGTCTCTAGTACAGGAACTGGAAAAAAAATAGTTGAGTGCAACTCTTTTATCCATTGATCTACCTTTATTGGCCCAAGATATATTCCTGGAAATTTGTGATTTTCTGTAGATTTCTAGTTGCTTGCAACAACCACACACTTCTAAGAAACTATTGAACCTGTTAAAATCTGGGGAACCTCTTTTTAAGTTGCAATTAACAAGAAAACAGTCTTAAATATTCAACGTGCTTAATGTACATGCAGATGAACGAGTGCAATCTGCTCTTGAAAGATTACAAGTGGAATCAGGGAAGCAGCATGTGTGGGTACATCCTTCACAACTTTATTGTGCCATACATTTGGTTTTCTGAATTTTTTTTTCTGCTTTTGTACTTGGATGCTGATGGTAAATTTGTAAGACAACAACGGTAACCACAGTTGTTTGCTGTTGCCTATTGATCTAATTCTGCAGGCTTCATCTTGTTTCTCACATTTCATTTTCTGCAAACAAGTGCAGACACATGCCCACAACACAGTGTACATATATAGCTGCATATGTTTTTATGTATCATACTTATGCTAATGCTGAAATTCTTCATGCAGGGAACCAAATGTGATGTTAGAAATGGGGACGATGTCAAGAAATTAGTTGCTTTTGCACAGGAAAAGCTTAAATACATTGATATATGGGTACTTAATATACAAATTCTCATCTTTGCAATGCTATCTCTTTACTCACACACACACACGCGCGTATGTATATAGTATCCCGTCACAATAATGATGTGCATTTCTCTCTTTAACCTAAGGAAAATATAATAAAATCGTCTTCTTGACTAAATTTTATGATTAATGCATATTCCATCACATGGGCTTTCTTCCTTATTGGTTTATAGAATTGAATGACTTGTGACAAACAGTTCCAGCTCTAAATTTCTGAACCTTACAATTAGAAAGTTAGTTTAGCATCTTTCGACATATCATTAACTTTCTTCCTTTAACTGACGAGGTGTAGACTAGATGTTGTTTGCCCAGGGACACCTACAGTTATTAAAAAATATGGAGAAGGTTTATTTGAGGTTGCAAATTAGCAAGTTGTTTTCGTATGGTTAATATGAAGTTTATGACTAGTAAAAAATGTTATTAATTTGTAGACCTAGAATATGCTACTACTTCTGGAATAAGCTATTGATGAAATCTTTCCATTATAATCTGACAAAGCAAGAGCATGCTACTCCATCATGGAATGTAGTTTCATCTTAATGAATCAATACAATTACCATTATTGGAACTTGGAAGGACCCAACAAATTACTGCTATGTTGATTATCACATCAGTTCAATTGCAACGTTTGCATGTGCACATTCTACTATGTCAACCTTGAAATGATTCTCATGATTTTTTTCAAAAGCCATTAGTGGTGTCTATGTTCCAATTTTCTTTTTGTTCTCACACCATCTTCAGAATGATGCAGATAAATAATGCAGGATCAAATGCATATAGTTACAAACCGCTGATAGAAGCATCAGATGAAGATCTAGTGTGAGCTCTTGTATTTCTGCTCTTTTATTGGTGAATATTTGATGTAATACTTAGATGCCATCTTCTGTGCAGTGAAGTTGTCTCTACAAATACCCTTGGATTGATGATATGTTGTCGAGAGGTAAATAGGATTTCTAGGTCTACATATGTATCATAGAATGATGGCCTTTGCTGACGCATTACTATTTTAGGCAATAAAGATGATGCTAAACCAGCCTCGAGGAGGTCATATATTTAACATTGATGGAGCTGGTTCAGATGGAAGACCAACCCCCAGGTGTGGTTTGTTGGTTAATTTGCTTCCGTTTTGCTTATACACTACTATGATTGTCATGTAATCATATTCTGGACATGTTTCTGTGCATAAGGTGTGCATACTGTTAATTAATATGCTCATTTCTTGTAGCAACCCCTTTTATGCTAAGGTTTCTAATGGAGATAGACATAGAAATTAGATAGGATTTTAAAATAGAATTTAATTTAATTTAGATTAGGTTAGTTTTAATATAGTTCTAGTTTATTACAAATTATATTGATTATAGATTAGGTGCTTTATATACATAGGGTTTGTTGACCCCAAAAAATGAGCTCAACAGATGCTGGGCCCACTCTTGCCACGTCAAGTATGGATCCGATATGTTTCTACCAGAAAGGGAACGGTAGTCTAGCTGAAATGGATTCGGGAGGCACTTTCCGGCAAGAGACAAAAATGTTCGGACTCCGGCAGTGTGATTTGAAGGCAACCACGCTATCAATGATCGCCAAGCTAAGATAATCAAGAATAAATCTTTCATTTATAGTGGAATATGTGGAAGGATAGANGAGGCACTTTCCGGCAAGAGACAAAAATGTTCGGACTCCGGCAGTGTGATTTGAAGGCAACCACGCTATCAATGATCGCCAAGCCAAGATAATCAAGAATAAATCTCTCATTTATAGTGGAATATGTGGAATGATAGATATAATAAAATGGTGCTTTGTGTTGGAATCTTGATATATTTGCTATTGTGTTTGCAAAATATGTAAAGAACAATACGTATAAATCTTCTTCCATCTCTCTAGGTTTCACGAGAGTGAAGGTATATTTTTTTGCTTTATTCTCTGATTACAAAGATCCCAACCCCCCATTTTCTTTACAAAGAGAGCCTATTTATGTTGTCTTGGCCGAGGTGGTGACCATTGGATCAGAACCACGTGGCCTCATCTCCTTTGTTAAGACGTCACATCATTGTCCATTGATGCAATTAATGCATTGATAAGAGGTCAGCCGCTCTACACAATAGGCTGACACACTGTCAAAACTTTTACAAATGTCACATCAATCATTTCTAAAAGATTTCAAATCTATTATAAGAGATAGCTTCGGCTTCGTGAATTTCGAAAGAGTTGAGAGCCCCAGAGAGATCTTTGAGGTGGTCCTCTAAGTGGAGAGCCTCAGCTCCTTCATTTGTTTTCTTAGGCAGTGGTTCAGCTCAAGGTTTGTAGAGCTTCTTCCTTGAGGCTGTGCCTCAGCATGGACCCCGGCCTCAGTATGGACATCAGTTAGTACCTCTTTAGGTACTTTGGTAAGTACCTCTTTAGGCACCTTGGTTAGTACCTCTTTAGGCACTTTGGCTAGCCATTTGGGGAGCCTCGGTTGTACCTCTTTAGGTACTTCAGCTAGTCTTATTTTCATGGGATAACAGGGCTTATTCATTGTAATATGCACCCTTGAATATATGAATAAATTGATTTCTCTTGCTCTAAATTCTTCTCTTCTTCGATCCCAATTCTTTTCTTGTTCGGTGTCAAATTGGTATGTTACTGTGTCAGTTTCTGAACTAAAAGTACATTAAGATTATATTATTGCTGGCTGGATTGAAAAGAGACTACCATAACCTTGATTTATTATTATTTTGATGCATTACTGGTTGATATTTTCTCAGTAGTAATTTCTTTTCCTTGCCTCCCCTTCTGTAACAAAGTATATATTATTATGCAAATTCTCCATTGGTGGCCAATCAATCTAAGAGTGGGTTACCTGGAATGCACCAGAATATCTTTTTTATACTCCAGAAAGTGCAGGGCCATTTACAAGATCAAAACTTGTTGTCTTTTTCGTAATATCCTGATGTCACAATTGGGAAGTTGAGTAGCTAAAATCTTCAAGCACCTTCAAACACTTCTCTTTTCAGCACTGTCTAATGGGGAATGCGTTAGGACTGGAAAAATAAATGCTCTAGTCTCTCTCTTCTTTTATCATATATAGGTTTTCCCTTTTTCTTAAATTGTCCTTTATAATATTTTGTTGTCTATATCTTCACCATCACTATTGTTATAGATCGTGTAGTTAAATTCGTATGCTAGATTACTTACAAAAGAGTTCCTCATTTTATCTATTCCATTCCATGTCCAATCTTTCTCAATGATTTTTTTCTTCTCTTTTTTCAGATTTGCTGCTTATGGAGCAACTAAACGCAGTGTGGTGCATTTGACGAAATCATTACAGGCATGTGGTGAATTTTTCATGAAGATCCCTATCTTCATAGGTTTCAATTATTTCTAGTGGAAATTTAAGTTGTACTTCTGGACATGCAATAATTGTGCCTAAGCACTACAGGCAATGCACTATTTTGCCAAGAAACGTATGCCCATATACTTTGAAAATCATTTCATGGCTGCACTGGGGGGATCTCATGATAATGCTAGAATGCAGTGCGTATGTTACTCACTATCCCTGGTTTCAGTATTTGGTTTTGTGCCTATGACATAATAATCACTTGATACAGTCCTTAAATGGAGATTTTTTCCATATAGAATGGATGTTCTATATTTGTGATGCTGAGTTATTGCTTGTATATCTTTATGAGATTAATTACACTTATTTTATCAAAAAAGGAAAAAAATGTGCAAACATCCGTTATGCTTCGAAATCTGAGAAGCTTCTCGGGCATGTGCAAGTAACCCAAGTCTTCAGCAGGCAGCAATTTCCAGAGCTTCTCACTGGGTGCACAACCATCTGCCTTATGTGCTGAGAATTGAGAACTGAATGTTAATGGCAGAGATGAAGGCACCTGGCTAGGCTTCAAAAGTATCTTATCACCCCTGTTAAAGTTAAACTCCAAAAGTGGTCTGGAAAACAATGCACTCCCCTCTGGCTTGAGGAAAACCTTCGATATATGATCATTAAATTCACGTGATTATTAAGTGTAAAACATAACTGGACTTTCCTACATCTTTTTTGACCTTTCTTTATCAAAATATCAAACTTCAAATTTCTTTGTTATTTTATGAACTTTCAAAAAAGATATTTTGTTGTTTCTACTTGTTTTGGACAGTGTAATCCTCTTCGGACGTCATTCTGTGCATTTGGGTCTGCTTATGTTTCTGCTATTCGTGATTTATGTTTTGCAAATATAGTCGTGATCTTGTCTTTGTTCCCTACAGGCAGAATTGAGGATGCAGGATGTCAAAAATGTTATATTACATAATCTTTCGGTATGTATGCTTCATTTTATCATTTTAGCTGCCTGCTTTCCGACTTTCTAGCCATGGTTATTTGACTTTCATCAAAGCCACGAAATAAATAAACTTTATTTCCAGTTCAAGAATTATTGTGACAAGAGAGTTAAAAAAATTTATCTAGATATTTTCTTTATTGCAATATTTAATTAGAATTACATCATGTTTACTTGTTTCTATTATTGATTCTTTTACGAACACTAAAAGTAAGTAATAAATTAACTACGTTTTAAATTTTAACTGGATACAGATGATATGTGAAGTACTATACATCCTGCCAATATAAAAATTTAAATGCCATATAATTAGTTGGAAGTGTTACGATGATAAACAGAAGTGTTACAACATTATGATATAAGACGGAAAATCCTAAGAAGTTAGCGCCGTATGGAGAGGGGGGGGGGGGGGGGGG